ACTGAGTTGCCTAGAAATGACAGGAAGAGGAACCAGGCAGTGGTGGCGCTTGCCTTTGACCCAGAACTTGGGAGGCAGAGGCAAGATCTCTATGTGTTTGAGGTCACCCTGGTCTAAAAGAGCTTGTTCTAGGACATGTTCCAAAGCTACAGAGAAACCTGTCTTGAAAAAAAGACATGTGGAGACCCAAAAATATGAGCCTATTTCCACATTAACCATTGGTCAGAGAGTTGGAACTTACCTCTATTTCTTCAAGGAACTGTATTAGAGGGTAACAACATTAGGAAGGTTGAGAACCACTGGTCTAGAGCAGAGTGCCGTGTGTAGTGTGCTCATGCATCAGGTAGTAGTACTTGATTTGTTCTCAGATTTGAATGTCTGAAGCTCCCAGGTTACTCTGGAGAACCACATGACATCTGAGTGATACCAGAGATAACTAAGATTGAAACTTATAGACACATCTCTGGCCTACTTTCTGCTCTTTTTATTGGTTGGTGACAGAAGTGTTAAGCTGTGAAGTGGTTTTGTGGAAGAAGGCCTTCCTCAGGAAACAGAAGACAGCTTAAAGCACAAACAAACTTTTTGCTGCTGCCACTTTGAACATGAAGAGAAATCTCATTTATTATAAGCAAAGAAGAGACTGGAAATCAATAATGTGGGTATTCTGCAGAGTTGACCACTGGAACTTGAGTTAATCTTTCATCTGTCTGTGGGATGAAGTCCTTTGCCTTGATGGACAAGTCTTCTGTTGCTTCTAGTCTTTCCTCCTACAGCAGCACTTTCTACAGAGGAGGGGCAAGGCTCCTCAGAAGCAGGAAGTGAGAAACTTCCTACATCTGAAGAAGTTGAAACTTAAAGTTTTAGAGGACCATCGAGGCTGTAGAAGGAGGAGACCCTGACCAGCTCCAGAGAAGATCTTCGACCTGTCCTGAGGCATAGAAGCTGTGCAGTTTCAGCTGTGCTGTCCCCTGAGTCACAGCCTGAGCTGAGGTGGGCTCTGCAGGGATGCAGCTGCTGTGGATCCATCCCAGCTCCTGTAAGTAACTCCTCACCACAGTCCTGTTAGAAATCCCAAATTACATCCAGTGCTTTCAAATGACCTTTGTGCAGTTGGTAATTTGGTCTGTCATAGGTTCCCTTTCTGGAGTGTGTGTGTGTGTGTAGTGTGTGTGTGTGTGTGTGTGTGTGTGTGTGTGTGTGTGTACAAGAGCATACACATTTCCCCAGGTAAAGGCGCTGGGTACAATACCAGTTTTTATAATTCCCAATTGGTTTGTGTGATCATGTCTTGGTTTGATATCAGCAGACAGTTGGATAGTGTGGCAGGCTTTGTCTGCACAGCTGTTGTCATCCTGGGTGGGTGGATGCTGGCTGTGTAAAAGTCACTCTGTGGAAATGTAGGGAAGGATGAACTTTACAGAGCCAATCAGAGAACAGACCTACAGTCTGGAGTGGGAGTGCAGAACACTGGAGAGAACCTGAAGAGGTGTGCCTATGTGGTGGTTTTAAGAATGGCTCTCATATACTTGAATGCTAAGTCATCAGGGATTGGCATTGCATAGAAGGATTAGGAGGTGTGTCCTGTTTGGGGTATGTTTGGCCTTGTTGGAGGAAGTGTGTCACTGGGGGTGGGCTTTGAGATTTCCATATCCCAATCCAGGCCCAATGGCTCTCTCTCTTTCTGTGCTGTGGGTCCTGATGTAGAACTCTCAGGTCCTTCTCCAGCACCATGTCTGCTGCATGCTGTCAGACTCCCTGCTATGATGGCAATGAACTAAACTTCTGAAACTGTATTCCAATCAGATACTTGCTTTTTACGTGTTGCATGGGTATGTGGTCTCTACACAGCAATAGAACCCTAATCAAGGCAGCTTCTATCTCTGCTGTTCTTTGGGGATGACATGCACTTTTGTGTCTCAGGTTGCTCAACTGGGACTCTTTTAACACTTTTTTCTTCCTCTAACATTCTGCAGTTCCTTATACTTTGCTCTTAATCTACCTTTAGGAATCTGTCTTCATCAGAAACTCTTTTTGAGAACAGGCCCAGTGGTAGAGTCCCCAGTGAGCACCTGGACACAGGTCCATGACTGAACTATGTGTTGCACACCATCAACTCTCGAGTTACTTCTGCAGCTCGCCCTCTGTGGCACACACAGCTGGTCTTCTGAGCTTTGGCTGGCTTCACTCCACTGCTGCTGCCATTCTTGGGGGTCATCCCATGGTACTGGTATTTCCAAAATGCTGATGTCCTCTGGGCAACTGCATGTTCCCTAGTAGCCTATCCTGGGCTCTCTCCATGGAGTACAGTCCTGCTACATAACACCTAGCTCTGATGTCACCGTCACACCTTTAAAACTCGCACCACCTGGGTGGTTCTTAAACCACCATATTTGGCTGCCCACACAAGGTACAATCTTGGCCATGTCTAGAACACAGCCTGTGTGTGCTGACTCTCAGAAACAACTTTCCAGAAGACCTCACCTCTAAGATGCTGGTATCTTTGTAATCACTGATAATTTCTCAACTCCAGCTGATCAGCACTGAGTATCCCAGCAGAGCAAAGGACTCACCTTAGTGGTTCTGGTACCTTGTGAATCATAGCAGATTTTTTTGACTGCAGCTACCCAGAACCATTGACTCTTAATTCAAATTGTCCAGTAAAGTTGGCTGCTGTTTGTATTCACTCCACCAATAACTTTAGGGGTACCTGGGATAGGGCTTTAGGGCCTGACTTCTTAAAAAGAGAGAGACAAGGACACATGCTCTCAATGGTTGTGAAGACCGGGTCAGGCAGCTTGAAGCAGTGTGTGGCTGGTTCCCAGCTCCCTTGGGTAGAACAGAAGGATTTTGCAACTGTATGTACCTTGTCCTGAACCTGTAACATGATCACGACCTGCTTGTTTGTGTTTTCTGTCCTGCCCAGACAAGCCCCAAAGAAAATCACACAGAGATCTCTATAAGTTATAAAGATGGTTGGCCCATTAGGTCAACCTACATATTAGCTCTTGTAGCTTATATTAACCCATTGCTCTGATCTATGTTAGTCATGTGGCTCAGTACCTTTTGCAGTGGGTCAGATCATATCCTGCTGCTTCGGTGATCCGGGCAGGAGTGGGAGGAATCAACTTCCTCCTTCCCAGAATTCTCCTGTTCTCACTGCATCATTTCTATTTCCTGTCTGGTTTTCCCGTCTACACTTCTTGCCTGGCCAATCAGTGTTTATTTAAAACATGATTGACAGAATATAGACAATTCTCCCGTACCATGAACCTATGAGTCTGTTTTCCCCATAGCACTCCTTAATAAATTGATAGATATATGTCTATATCCTGTGGTTTTCATAACAACCTGTTTTCCCAGACTTCCCATCCAGGCCTCCAATGTCTGCATTCTCTCAACACTTTCTCTCCTCAGTTCCTGAAGAACGGCTCAGTGAGCTCTCAACACTTGATGACTTTTTTCCAGCCCATACATCCAAAGTCCTTCTCCAATCCTCCCCAAAACTCTTGTCCATGTCTTGCTACCAACTTGTCTTCTTTAGGGTTACTATTGTTGTGAAGAAACATCATGACCAAAGGAACTTGGGGAGGAAAGGGTTTATTTAGCTTCCATTTTCAAATTGGCGTTCATCAGTTGAAGGAAGTCAGGACAGGAAGCAAACAGGGCAGGAATCTGGAGGCAGGAGCTGACGCAGAGGTCATGGCTGGGTGCTGCTTACTGGATTGTTCCTCATGGCTTTCTCAGCTTACTTTCTTATAGAAAACGACTATGATCATGGGCTGGGCCATCTGCAATTGATCAGTAATTAAGAAAAAGCCCCACAGGCTTGCCTACAGCCTGATTTGATGGAACTGTTTTTAAATTGAGGTTCCCCCTTCTCAGATGACTTTAGCTATGTCAAGTTGACATAATGCTGTCCAACACATACTTTACATTTGCCAGTTTTATTTATTATTGCTGTATTACCTGGCGTCTTTGTTAGAAGGACCTGTGAGTCCCTCTCACCAAGCTTCAATAGGACATTGCTACAATTGATGACTTAACTGGCCATTAGAGTGCGCAATCATTAAAACAATGTGGTTTGGTTTGTAAATTTTTTTAATTTTTTAAGAGAACCTTGGCCTTTTATTTTTTTTAAATATTTATTTATTATGTATACAATATTCAGTCTGCATGTATGCCTGAAGGCCAGAAGAGGGCACCAGACCTCATTAGAGATGGTTGTGAGCCACCATGTGGTTGCTGGGAATTGAACTCAGGACGTTTGGAAGAGCAGGCAATGCTCTTAAACTCTGAGTCATCTCTCCAGCCCCCTTGACCTTTTATTTTAACAATACTTTTAAAATTCATTTAACATATAAAATCAAACATCATTACAGTTTACAAATCTTCTTATACAAATATCATATAAAATCTAACTACATTTTGTTTTATCCTTTTAAACCTTCAATGATCTACTTTGCCCCCAAATAACCAGGTTTTCTAATTGTATTAATAATCAATTCTTTCTTCACTAATGCAAAATCCATAATCATACATAATAAATATATATGCATACTCACATTATTCTTACTCTCTTTTCTGTTTGGCTCCAATTATATTTTACTACCCACAAAACAATGTGTTTATAGAGTTATATCATTTTAGGATTCTACATCAAAGGGAATAGGCAGGTTTTATATTCTGAGACATTTAACTGTATTGTGAAGTTTGATGTAACACCTTCCCTCTTCTTAATAATATTCAAACATTTATATACTTTTTAAGAAATTTATCAGAGTGTTAGAGAGAAGGCTCAGTAGTTAAGAGTTCTTGTTGTTCTTGGAGAGGACCCGAGTTCAGTTTCCAGTTCTCACAGCCACCTGTAACTGCAGTTCCAGGGGATCCAGAGCCCTCTTCTGGCTTCTGTAAGCACCAGCAGGTATACATGTTACATACAGACATACACACAGGAAAATACTCACACACATTAAAAGTAAAAACTAATCAGTGTTAAACAGTGTCCTAGCACATTGAGACAAATAGAAACTGTTTTCATATATGTGTATAAGGTATTTTGGTCATGTCAACCCTTCTATTCCTTCTCATGTCCCATTCCCAGTCTCCAGCTGCTTTCTCATCCCAATTACTCTCCCTCCACTCTTTAAAAAAAATTTTGGCGCCATGATTTCATGTGGGGTTATTTATAGATGCAAGAGTGAGGAGTTATTGATAGCAACATGGGTTTCTTACAAGGGGTCACACCACTGAACAAAATGTCTTTTCTGCTCCAGCATCATTAACTACAGATAAGATTCTCAGGGGGCTCTGGAGTCTTATAACCCTCTCTCTCCATGAAGGGAAGGCTGACAGGCCTGCTCTTGTGCAGGGATCATGTAAGTACTCAGAGCTGCTGAGAGATCAGCAGTGCAGCAGACGTGTCATGGGTGGAACACAGGGTTCTCTTACATCCTTTCTTCCCCCTATTGTAAGTGGTTTCCTGACTCTTGGATGTGGGGATATAGATGTCTGGTTTAGTGAATGCTTTTACCTTCATACCTCAGGCTTATGATCCTGAGACAACATTTGGGTGGCCTGATTGGGTAACTCTCCATTTGACTCCATTAATCTCTCTTTCCTCTGTGGCTTGTAAGAGTTGATGGGACAGTTCATGGGCAGCTGAAGGTTTCTGTCTGGAAAGGTTTTGCAGTGAGATCCAACGCTCCAGATTATGAGTCTGAAAGCAATAAGCCCTATACACCAACAGAGAAGTCTGCAAGTCACTGCTTAACTTGTATCTCAATGTCCATGATCCCTGACAAATGAAGGAGTTTTGAGAACAGACCACACAAGCCCTTCTCAGACAGATCCATTTCTGGGGTCAGCAGCCTCTCAGTTGCATATGAAACAGAGGGAAGCGAGGCAGAAAGAGTAGACAGGCAGTCCTAGCTGACTGAGTGAAAACACCTTTGCAGTTGTGATTGAGATGAGTACATGGTAAGGGTTGCTCTAAGGGCCATGACAGGAGTGCAAGCAAGTGATGTGTTCAGAAGTTTTTACGCTCAGTTCTCATTGTCTGAGCAGAAGACAGTAGATTGAACTTGTAACCAGACTGTCAAAAGGTCAGTGTTGGGCTGTGCGGATGGCTCAATGGTAAGGACCTTGCTATGGGAGCATGAAGTCTGGAATTCACATCCCTGATACCCAGTGGGGCACCTGTTCCATGTCCTCAGCAGACTAACCCTGCCAAGAACCAGAGTGAGACCCCAACCTGCTCCTTACCTCCTTGGAAAGAATTCCTCTTCACACACGTGTAAATGCAAATGCAAAAACTGACAGACAGGATGAGGATGGGAATGAGTACTACTGTGACTGTAGATTCTCCCTTACTGAAGAACTGACTGGTAGAGGGAAGCTGGGTGATATCTGGGGTCCTTGATGTTGGTCCTTTAAAAAAAAACAAGAATATTCTAGATAAAGCTAAAACCACTCCTGTATCACCACTTTTTCTCCCCAGGCAGAAACAATTATTCACCTGTAATAATTCCTGATTAGAGAGAGGAGTGGAGCTGTGTGGATGATGTTCTTACAGAGTTTATGTCATTACCAAAGGGGAAAAAATGCCTGTGGAACCATCAAGCAATGTTACATACTTACTTTTGTTAGAACTTTCTGGATGGTGGCTCAATTAGTGTTGTTTAATTTTGCCAGAGAAAGATAGTGAAGCCTCTCAAAGTGATGTGGAGCTGGTGCAAGGGCAGCTATAAGTGAGGCAGATACAGCTGGAGGTTTACAGTGATGCTAATGGGCCAGGCAGTGTCTGAACCATTGATTCGTAGGGAATGAGAAACTTTGGGAGGTGAGGAGAGATAGAGAAATCCTATGGGAATCAGTGGATCTTAGAGTGGAAGACCACCAGGAAATGACCCACACAGTCTATCAAATGTGATCGAGTTGGCCCCTGATGATCTAGGTAATACATACTTGGCTTTTCCTTCTGGTGCTTGAAGAGTTCCTTGAGCCAGTGCCTGCAGTCTGCTGTGGAGATTGTCGTGAGATCTTTTATTAATTGTTCATCTTCCTTCCATGTATTCATGATACCACCAGCTTCAGGATCAGTCAGTGTCCAATTCATATTCATTGTGTTGAAGATGAAGGAGTACTTTCCACTGATGTTAAATCTCCAGGAGGCAACAACAATTTGTTCATGTTCATACAGAGAAAGCATGGTGGCCTGTAAAGTGGGCTGACCTGCAAACCACACACAACACCATCATGCTTCACTGTCATAGATCCATCACTTCTCCAAAGGTCAGGACTTTCCCACTGGCTTATGAGCCAGGATCATTTCCACATGGCTTGCTCTTTGTTACTCACTGGGCACCACATGCTTCCAACGCTGGACAAGCACTCAGATCCCTCACACAAATACAACCACCAATTCATTCCCACATGTTCTCTACCCTTTCTCTCTCTTGCCAACTGTCTTTGTCTCTGTATTTGATCCCACACTTACCACTGATCTTGGTTGATCCTAGTTTGGTGTGAGCCAACATCTTCCTGAGCTCTTGCCCCAAGTACTCCAGCTTTTGCACAAAATCTGTCCACACAGGAGTAGCATTTACCGCTTTCCCCAGGTCTCCCAACGGTGTGGCTCTGTTGTCATTATCATACTGCAGGAGAGGCTCTCCATCCACTGAGCACTGCCCTTCACACCAGGACTGCCCAGGTGTGGTATGAGACTTGACAATGACATCACAACTAAGAGAGTGTATATCTGTGAGAGAAACAAGCAGGTGAGGTCCAAGCGGGGGAGCAGAAAATCACAGGACTCATGATTCTGTGAAACTAGATGATACCTAGAATCCCTCTGAAGGGCAAAAGGTCAGGAAGAGAAGCCTCTCTTACAGATGTTCTTTGACTTCTGAATCCTTATTTCCATGCAACCTTTGACCTTCTTGGGGTGGTGGGATCCCCAGATGCACACGGTGTCCAGAGGGATTTATTTCACAAGAACTTTGAATAGCTTTTATCAAGTGTTGAGGAATAAAGTCTGTCAGATGGTAACTGTTTCTGGGACTGAAAATCTACTGAACTCAGAGGGAAAGCAGGCATCTTAGGACATGTGGTAATTCAACATGAAGCCTGAAGTTCAGGAAAGAACTCCTGGACTATGCTGCAACTTGTCATGGGAGGGGAGCTGTCACCTGTGAGCACAGTACTCACCGTGTTCCCACTGGGCCCCTTCACACAACAATGTTGAACATCATATCTCAAATTATCTCATGTTAAACACATCCCTAAGTCAGTCTCAAGAAGAGATCTCAGCCTGTGACCTGCTCTAAGCCCCGATCTCCCTCCTCTTCCTCAGGCAGTTGTTCCCCAGCACACTTATGGCCCCTGGTCCCCCAGACTTTCCCTAGCATCAGCAGAAGACACCACACCCTAGTGCTGTTCTGTTCAGCAGACTGCATAACAAGTAGGCAAGACCTAGTGAGGATGAACATGTGTACTGTCCTGTGTGTGTGTGAGCTCTGAAATCTAAAAAAAAAACAAAACAAAAACTGTAATTTAAAGGATCTTTTTAAAAAATGTATGCTATATAATTACACTAAAAAATGAAAGAGATGTTTTAAAAAATCCCTCTTTCCCTCCTCCCTCCTCAAAACTTCTGCTATGGGGGTGTTTGATGCAGGTTAGGTGACATTCTTTTCTCTCTACTTCAATCAGCTTCCTCTTCCTTCACCTCACTGCCTCTTCTACCACCTGTTTCTTCCATCTCTATGGTTTCCCCTGTCTCTACATTCCCCTTCCTCCCACTCTTAAAGTTTGAATTTCTTCTTTAATGGTTGAGATTCTTTTTCACTCAGTACGCCTCACTGAGGGATTTGTTGCACATGAACATGAACCCTCAGAGTAGAGAACTAGCTTCGTTGTTTTGAGCTAAGGGTCACAGACTGGGCACTTTAGACAGATCAGATAGAATACGCATCGGAGATTTCTGAGCAAAATCCAGTTAGAAGACTGATGAAAGGGAACTGTTTTTGCTGAAGGAGGAACAGTGAAGTATGATGATTTAAAGAAAGCATCCCTGTCTTCCAAGTATGCACCCATTATTATTATTATTATTAATATTAGCAATAATAAAGTTGCTTGAGGTCAGAATGTTTTCTCACAGTTACAGAATGAAGTCATAACAACACATTTTAGATCCCCTAGCCATACTGCTTATAGGATGGCTTCCTGGACCTGGTCAGTGGATTATCATGCCCACACTAAAGTACAAAAAACTCTAGGCTGGTTAAATGTGGCAGTAGAGGAATGGGGATCAAGAATCTCAGAGAAGTGCATGTGCCAGAGTGGATGGAACAAAAACCATTTCCAGGGGAAGAGTGCAGAGTCCATGCTGTCTGTGGATGCTGGAGCATCCCTGATGAGAAGCACAGTGAGAAGGACCAGGAAGAAGGGCACCAGCATGGCTGGAAGCTCAGGGATGGTGATGGCTCAAGGCTGGGGTTAGGGAACTGTGTTCCTGAATCTCAGCAAATATGGTACAGAAAAGCTCACCTAGTAGAGTGGTCAGGAGGCAGTAACATCAAGGTCAGTGGGTCACTGTTGAGTAAGGAAGATACAGCCTGTGTCCTAACTGCTTAAGGCAGGGGATGGAGCATGGCCAATAGAATACAAAAATCCTAAATACAGATAGATACACATGGTCAGCCAACCCATATGTGGCTGCATTTTAATAATCAAAGACAAAACAGATGAACTGGGGTGTGAAGGGGCTGGCCCAGGGGTATAAAAGTGTATGAACAATAACCACAGGTGAACTCAGAACTCAGAGCTCTGTATGCAGGAGATCGAATGACTCTCCTGATGCTGTCCTATGTCTCTGTGATTCCTTCGTCTCTGTAGGCGAACCACTCCCTGGGTGGAATCCAATGCTATCCCCTTAAAGGAACTGGAACCTTAATTGTATCCTTAGACTTTTGTTTGAGGTAGACACAAATCTACTTCTCTAGTCCTGAAATGCAAGGTCTGGCTATTAGCCACACCTGTTGACAATAACTTTGAGAGAACAGAGCTCTCTGTTCTAAATCTAGGTGGGTTCTTTGTTTGAGGTAGAAAAACAATAACCTTGAAAAAATAGAGGTAAGTTCCAACTTTCTGACCAAGGGTCAATGTGGAATTAGGCTCATATTTTTGAGTCTCCTCATGGGTTTTTTTTTCTTTTGGATACAAGGGTTCTCTGTAGCTTTGAAACATGTCCTAAAACTAGCTCTTGTAGACCATGATGACCTCAGACTCATAGAGATCTTGCCTCTGTCTCCCGAGTTCTGGGATTAAAGGCATGTGCCACCACTGCCTGGTTCCTCTTCCTGTCATTTCTAGGCAACTCAGTAGTCATAGGTAGCATAGAACCTATTGCTCCTTGAGAAATATGCAACTTTGGGAGTACTTTTGTGCTGTAGGAACTCCTTCAGCCAGTAGCCTTTAAGTTACCAGCCCACATTGGTGTGGCCTCTTATACGATAAGTGCCAATGTAAAGTGCATGCTTGCTCTCTCTTCTGGGTGCTGGATTCGGTTCCTGTTTCCCTGTTCATGCAGAGGACTGTAATCTGTATGTATGTATGTGTGTGTGTGTGTGTGTGTGTATTATTATTATACTTTTATTATACTCAGTTCTAAGCTAGTATGGGATTTCTTTTTATTGCACTTCTTCACATTTGAAGACACTGTGGGGATGGACACCAAGACTGGATATACCCTAATCTGGGTTAGAGGACAAATATGATTCAGTTATCAGGTTGTTGCATTCTGAGGCTCATACCAAATGTGGAACTGAATCTTTGGTACAGAGAGATATCATGAGGCTTGCCAGGTTGAAAATAATACTGGCTTTCATTTACAAAAAAAAAAAAAAATGAACTAACTCCAGCCTAATGAACGCCATTGTCTGAAGTCATCTTGCAAAGTGGTAGACAGCATGGGCCTGGGAGCAAGGGAAGAAGCTACTGTAGGTCCTTACATAGGGCCATTGCCAGGGTCCTCCATAGTAGACAAGGTGTTCCAGTCTCTGCTTAGCTGCTCAGCTTAGTATTTTCAGGCACGAGAACAAATTGCTACCTGGTGGAAAAGGGGCTAAAAGAGAAGGCTAGATGGGCAGGAAAGGGAGCTGAGCAGGCTGGGGAGGTTTAAGTATCACTTGGGAATTGAAGCTGAGCCTGGTGGCACAAAACTTTCATCCCAGCATTTGGTAGACCGGGTTAGAGAAGGGATTGTTGCAAATTCTGAAGTGTGGGCTATGGTGTGAAATCCTGCCTTTAAGCAAAACAGCAACAAGAAAAAGAAGGAAAGAAAAACAAAACAAAAAATAACTATAAAAATGTGTGTGGTTATGGCTGCTTTGTCCCTGGCTGCACCTGTTGTGAACCTCTGGGGAATTGCCTTTCAAGGTGGGAAAGAAAGTTCAAGGACACAGAGTCTCAGAATGGTGAAGGGCTCCTGAGGAGTCCCCGGGAAGGTGGTCTTCAGAGTACAGCAGCCTAAGGTGTAGGGGAGCTGTCTGAGAGAGAATTCTGAAGGAATCTGCACTGTGCACATCACATCTGCAGATGACTGGGTTTTATGCATCCTGCAGACCCCAGTGGTACAAAGGGCATTGCCAGATATTTCCTTCTGCCACCAAACTCTTCATTCATGTAGTCTCTGCTCTATCCTCCACATACAACTTTTCCCCTAACTTCTTTAATCCACTAAAGACTGGATGGGATAGGGCCGGTTAGAGCCAGGGATCTCCTCACTGTGGTGACGAAGAGGGGAAGGAGACAAGAGTTCAGAGCTAGCCTAGGAGTACTTCAAGACTAGGACCAGGTCTGTTCCCATCCCCCAGTAATCCTCTCTTTGACACTCTGGGAACTCACCAGCCAGCAGAGTGGTCCCCAGACAGATCAGTAGAACCAAAAGGCACAGATACTGGGAGTTACTGTGCACTGAGGTCAGAGCCTTTGCCATGATTTCTTCCTGAGGCCGGGCCGCCAACAGGGGGAGCTATGGAGAGAATTGTGCAACCTTCAGTTTGGTTTGCAGAGGAGCCCAGGCAGAGATTCATTCCTGAATGTTTGCAAAAATTCTGAGCACCTGGGCTGTGAATTCAAGCCTACCCATGCCAAAGCTATGCAGGTTCCTAGTTCCATCTTTTCCCACATCTCTTACGGGGTCCCTCCAGGGCCTGTGGCTCTGCTCCTCCCTCCCAGTGGACTGATGTCCCCATTGTGCTTGGGCACACGGAGATTTTGACCATGACCTGAGAGGTGAGGACACTGTTGTTCAGGACTCCACACACTTTGGTCATTCATTTCACTTACCTGCAGCTGAGCCCTCAGGAAAATTTGGCAACAGAATCAGGAAAAACAGAGACATAACAAAGTCGGTGCCTTCTACTAGGTCTCTGCAGAAGGCACTGGAATTTATCAAGGCTTTACCCGCCCTGCCTTAGGCAGGGCAGAATACAGACCAGGCAAGAAATGTAAACAGATATAGAAAGAGAGTAGGCGGAGTCAAGTGGACACCATGTAGCTGCTGAAGAAGAACTCCATAACATTATTGGTAAGACACAGGCTTGTGACAATAAAGAGATTAATAGAAGTCGGTTAATTTGACATGCAAGGAATACCCCTAAGTCATTGGCCAAACAGTGGTACAACAGATATAGTTTTTTGTAATTATTCATGTCTGGGCATCTGGGAAATGAACAAGCAGTCTCATCTTAAAATTGAGATGAAGAAGGACAGCAGATCATGAATATATTAAAAGGGAATGGGAGATCCTCGGAGATAAGGGTACAGTAGGGCAGGGGTGGGCGAGGCTGTAGTGGTATCTGTAGTGCAAGGTGTGTTTTTCATGTCAGTGTTGCCTCCATGCTGTGTTTACTCTATAGAAGGCACTGTAAGTTAAAACACAGAGGACAGAAATGTAAGGGGTAGTGACGGTGAACTCCATTGTCAGCCTGACTGGCTTAGCAGATTTGGAGAATGGTTGAGATGCTCTGTGTCTGTGTGTGTGTGGGGGGGTGTTCCAGAGGGAACAGTGAATCACAGCAAGACCCTCCATCAGTGGGGTTACCCAGCCCAGGTCACCACAAAGAGGAAGTGTCTCTATTACTGCTACCACTACAGGTAATCTTTAGTGACAAAATCATGGATCTATGTCAGTAGCTGCAAGCTTTCACTGTCAGATTGCCACTGCAGAGGCACCCAGCCTCCTGTACTGAGCAGTACTGAGTTCTCTGCCTCTTCACTGTACCAAAGACAATCTGTCAGCCCAAGGTGTCAGTTCTAGGAAATGGTGCCTGGAAAGAGCTCTTGGCAGTGTTGGCAGTGTCTAACTGGAGAATCACCTTGCTTGAGCTGCAGCCAGCCAGATTCACCTGCAGCAGGGAAAAGACACTCCATGTCTTTGTGACTCCTCACATGCTACTTGGCCCTGGGAATAGGCAGCCTGTGGTCCAGGGCTATCAGAAGACCCACTAGGCCTCATGCAGACAGCATGAGGTGAGCTCTTTCCCACCAGGTTATTATGTGAACAAATCACAGTCAGATAAGATGTCCAGAATTGCGACATATCCAGGAGGGACAGAGTGGTCATGTGTGTTGAAAACTGCCTAGCAGGAAGAGACAAAGACTTTTGACTCCCTGAAATTTACTTTCTCCAGGTGGTTGGAGAAATTTTATCCTAGAGAAAGTGAAGGGCATTGCCCTTCTCCCTTACCTAGCATCTCTGACCCAGGAGTGTCCTCATTTCCTGGAACTGCAGAGAAAAATGGGCACAAACACCAGGGAGAAGGACATGGGCCTCTCCAGAAGCCCAGGGATGAAAACTATACAAGGCAAGGGTTGGGGATTGCAAATGGTGTTCCTGAAATGGGATGTCGGTAACCATGGACAGAAATGTCCTGATGTGGTAGACCAAAGTGGAGTGATCAGGGGACAGCATCATGGAGGGATGATGATTTGTGATGTGTTTGTAACCCAGGCTCTGACATCAGGGTGGGGTGTGTGCTCCCAAAGTGAAAGAACATACAGATTCTACAGGCAAATAGATGATCAGGTGTTGTTGAACCCTGCTTGGTTGTTTCCTGGCTGCCCACATAGAAAATAACCACACAGAAACTCTATTAATTACAACACATTTGGGGCAATAGCTTAAGCATATTTTTAGTTATCCCTTACATCTCAAATTAACTCAATTTATTAATTTGTGTATTACCATAAAACATACTCATAGCATAAAGAGGGGAATCCCACATCAGTCAGTGAGTTATATGTTGCCAGAAATTGATAATTAACTATATGAGACCTGCCAGCCAGGAAAAAGATGGGCTCCTGGGCCCAGTGTCCACAACAGAACTACTTCTCAGAGATACCAGAGTCCTTTTTAGGTGGAGAGAAAAGAGTCAGATAAGGAGGACTCCTCACCCCACAGCAGGTGCAGCTCTTCTCCCTGGGTCACTGTTCCATTTAGACAGACATATGGCCCCTAGATTCTACTGTCAATGGCTAAAGTGTTTGTAGGCTCAGCTCTGCTCTTGTAACTTAAATCTCCCATGGACAATATATGAATGATGAGTGTAGCCAAATAGATGTTCTCTATGTCATGACTGAGGACAATCTGTGACATTGAGTCATGTATGGTAGATGGTATTTGGAGTTATTGGTGGTAACTAATTGAAGAATCACAATAGACATCCCAGAGTTTGAAAGCAAGTCTGCACAGTGACAGCAGAGGCAGTCCCAGAATTTCAAAGTGGCAGCTGCATGGTCTTTGACCCTGGGAGAGAGGGGCCCTCTGGTGACAATGCAGCCTCAGGAGTCTATCAAGAGCTGGGTCCCCCATCTACTACGATGTGAGGTAGACTGGTCCAGAACTGAGAGAAGATCCCAGAAGCAAATGGTAACAGTGACCTAGTGAGTCACCTGTAGGATCATAGCTATCGTACAAGGGAGAGAGGTCTGCCTGACATAGCTATTCTTCTCCTCCAGGTCATAGACTTAAACTATACCTTATCACAAAGAACGACTCAGATCAATCGTCTCCTAAACTACCACCTCAGCATCAACTCACTTATCACTTGAGTGAAGGATGCACTGTACATCAAAGGAGAGAGGAGGGGAACACAACTCCAGGACCATCTCCTGTCACCTCAGTTCCCAGAAGCCTAAAGATAAAACGCCATGGGCTGGAGAAATGGTTCAGTAGTGAAGAGTACTGGCTGCTCTTCCAGAGGACCCAGATCATAACTCCAGTTCAGGAGATTCCAAGATGTTTTTTGACCTCCCTAGGCACACATGGTGCACAGGCATGCAAGAAGGCAAACGCCAAAGGCATAACATTAAAATAACAACAAAAACATAGTGTTTACTGAAGAACTACCTCCTTTCAGTCACTCCAGGATTAGATAAATGGACAAGAACATATTCTCTCCTTCACTGCTGAGTGTTTAGACCCTCAGGATATTGATTGGATAATCTATAAAATGGAGATGAAATAAAACTAATAAAACCAGAGCATGTCAGGATTTGCTTTGTCAGGTTCAGCATCATTAGGATGAAAATAATAACAGCGCATTTCTCTCTCTCTTTCTATCTAGATTTTAGAGAATTATCGATAATGAGCAAGACAGTGTTAAGGATGTCTGAAAAAACAGATGAGGGAGGTTTTGGGTTTTTTTTGAGATTTTCCTTTAAAACAGTCATTCTCAGGAATCAATCCCTGCCCTCCCCAGTGACTGCCATTACTACCTCCCCAGTAGCCTATTCTCTTACCCTCCTTTCCAGACAGACTCTGGGGATACAACCAAAATGTTAATGACAGTAAACAGACTCCCCTCATACTGATCCACACTTCTCTCACCCTACTGTTCCCACCAGCAGGCGTTATCTTTAACCATGTCTTTTCTTTAGCCCTCCTATTCATTTGGGAAAAAGTTCAGGCTTTGTAACCAGCAGCATGACAGAGTGCTGCTCTTCTGTTCAACAACCAACATATTTTTTCACGAGAAATAAAAGACACAAGCTGGAGAATTGGCTCAGCAGTTAAGAGCACTTGTTGCAATGCAGAGAACCTGAGCTGGACTCCCAGCACCAACTTTCGGTCCTAGAGAATCCAACAGCTTCTTCTGTCTTAGCAGTTCATCAAGCACAAACATGGTACACAGACATACTTACATGCATGCAAAGCACACATACATATAAAGTAATAGATAGATAGATAAATAGATGATAGATAAATAGATGATAGATTGATAGATGATTGATAGATAGATAGATAGATGATAGAAACAGATAGATGATGAATGGATGGATAGATAGATAGATAGATAGATAGATAGATAGATAGATAGATAAATTCTGTTTTGTTTGTTTGTTTTGGTTGATTAGATTTTTTTTGAGATAGGGCTAATCTGTGTAGTCCTAGCTGTCCTGGAACTAGCTCTGTAGACCAGCCTAGCCTCTAACTCATATACACCTGTCTCTGTCTCCTGAGTGCTGCATTGAAAGGAGAGCATCACTACTTCATGGCGTAAACAAGTGAACCTAATAAAAAAATAAATAATAAGGCAAGACAGACAGACAACTGCAGGCATGATGGTACATGACTTAGATCCTAACTCTCCTGAGGAAAATGTGGGAAGATTTCTATGAGTTCCAGGTCAGTCTGGTCTACATAGTGAGCGTCAGAGCTACAAATCCAAGATGCTGTCTCCAAAAACAAAACAAAACAAAAAACAAAAAACAAAAAAAGAAAAAAAGAAAAGGAAAGAAAGAAAGGAAAGTGAAGTAAAAGAAAGACATGGCTAGAAAATTCTGACAGGTACATATGCTATATGAACTATGAAGATGGTAACTGGATCACCAGGCTCTGCACTAAGCAGAGCTACAAAGCCTGCTACAGTGACAGGGTCAAATGACCACCATACACTTGAATACCTCTTTACAGGCTCAAAATCCTTCCTTTACAAAAAAAAAGGAAAGGAAAGAAAAAAGAAAGAAAGGAAGGAAGGAAGGAAGGAAGGAAGGAAGGAAGGAAGGAAGGAAGGCCAATGTTGACATTCCCATTTTCCAGAGTGGGAAATCCAGGCTGAAGGAGGCCTAGTAACTCATACAAGAGATTTATTGGATCGCAGAGTTCAGCTTTCTCATTCCCATTGTAGCTTCTATCCACAGCCACAGTGGCTGCTCAGATGAAGACTAATAAGCATTGTCTTCAGCTCAGCGCACAGGTACTGCACTGACCACTCCAGCAGTAGTAGCTGGGGTCTCCTCTCCCTGGAACCGTGCTTGTGTTGGCACAGCCTGGTGACTCTTCCCATCCACTGTCCCTGCAGGATCACCCACATATGCCCGAGGACTAGATCTATGAATTCTCCTAACTGCACTAATTAAGTCAGTGCACAGCGGAAAATGACAATAAACCACTGTTTACAATCACTTTTATTCGGCCACTATTCAGTTTCACTTGTAATCCACACCTGACCTGCAAAAGATAACTAACTCTGCAATAAAAAGAGGCTTGGGCCAGTGAGACGGCTCAGTGGGTAAAGGCATCTGTCATCCAGGCCTGACAACCTGAGTTCAATGCCCAGAACCCATATAAAGATGGGAAAGAAGAGGGCTGGAGAGATGGCTCAGAAGTTTAAGAGCACTGACTGTTCTTCCAGAGGTCCTGAGTTCAATTTCCAGCAACTAATGGTGACTCACAGCCATCTGTAATGAGATCTGTTGCCCTCTTCTGGCCAGCAAGCATACAGACAGACAGAACACTATATACATAATAAATAAATAAATAAATAAATAAATACGTCTTTAAAAAGAAAGAACCCCAAAGCTGTCGTCTGACTCCACGCATTTAATACGATGCACACACACACACATGCACACACACACACACACACACACACACAGAGAGAGAGAGAGAGAGAGAGAGAGACAGAGAGAGAGAGAGAGAGAGAGAGAGAGAGGAATACTAATAATAAATTAAATTTAAAATGAAAGTTAACTTTCATTTCCTTTTGCTTCTGTCAAACAGGGATTAGCAAACTATTTTTTTTAAAGATTTATCTCATTTGTATACAGTGCTCTGCTTGCATGTATGCTCACACACCAGAAGAGGGCGTTTTGTGCCCTTTACATTACAGGTGTTTTGTGCCACCATGTGGTTTCTGGAAATTGAACTCAGGACCCCTACAAGAGTAGTCAGGCCTCTTAACCTCTGAGCCACCTCTCCAGCCCAATTAGCAAACTCTTTAGTACTCAAGATAGAGGAGGCAGGAAATCCTGCAGGGAAAGGAGAAAGAAAGATTAAAGAGTAGAAACAGAATAAATAACAGAAAGTACTATTTAGATATTCAAACTCAGCTGTGTTTTCCCCCATTAAATGGTCCAGATCCTAAAGGTAGGTCCTGGTTATTATTTATTGGGGCTAAGCCAGAACCCTCCAAGATGAGCAAACAGATCTTATTAGACAAAAACTATACAAAACTACATATCCCCATGGAAATGTTTTCAAAAACTCACAAGTCTATACTATATCCCTAAAACATGGTATCTGGCAGAAGGAAGTAATGCCTTCTTGGATTTAATCCATAGGAGACACTTAAATATTCATTACATGTTAATTAATTAACTCCCCTCCCCCACCCTGCCATAAATTTTAGCTACAAAACTGTAGCTCATACTCCAAAGACATTTAAAGTTCCCAGTTCTTCCCTACCATTGTATATTGATAAAGGCCGCCATTCAAAACCGCTTTGTTCTGGTTTTCTCACTTTTTCAATTCAAAAGAAAGAAGTTACTGCCAGTAGAAAAGGGGGTGCTGAAATGCAAATTAAGAATCCAACAACAACCAGGCCCTGGTGGCACAGGCCTTTAATCACAGCACTCAGGCCCAGGATCTCTGTGAGTGAGAGGTCAGCCTGGTCTACAGGGAAAGAGCCAGGGCAGTCAGGGCTACACAAAGAAACCCTGCCTCAAAACACACCCTCCCACCCACCCCCACAAAACAGAAAATAATCTAGCAATGTGGGATTGGGGAAAGAGCTCACTAAAGTGACAGCCACAAAAGCATGAAGAGGAAGACTTGAGTTCAGATCCTGAGCACTTCCACAAAAACACCCTCATCTGTAACTTGAGCACTTCAGGTAGGGTGGCAACCTAAGGAGCCCTGTTGCTCATTGATCAGTCAATCCAGCCATTCAATGAGCCAGATTCAGAGAGACCTATCAGGTGTTTTGAGAGAGAGAGAGAGAGAGAGAGAGAGAGAGAGAGAGAGAGAGAGAGAAATACAGGAAGGCAAGTAACAACTCCAGCTTATCTCTGGCCTCCCATGCCGTGCAACCACAGCAAAACCATGTATACACCCTAGCACACACACGTACATGCACACACACACACACACACACACACACACACACACACACACATGCTAGCACACACGCACACCCTAGCACAGTTTAATTTGTCTCAATTTTCAAGCATACTTGGTGTCTACTTGTTTATAAGTTCAAAGCAGTTCACACATTCTCTGATTTCCAAATGCAGAGTTCAGCAATTCTGGTATATAAGAAAAAAATTCGTTTTAACAAATGACTTTTACCTTGAGGCGGTGATGAAAGGCAGAACCGTCTGGCAGCCTTCACAACTGCTGTGCACCCCAAGATTCTCCTAAGGAGCTAGCATTGATTTTAAAAGAGAAAAAAGAAGGAAGAATAAAATCACAGCCCTCTCCTTAAACCTTCACATCTGTAATCTAAATTCAAACTCAACACACAACATTCGACACAGCATTGCTCTGTGTGTTAGAATAAAGTCAACCAGTTCCACATGAAGCGAAATTAATTTTAATCATTCACATCATCCCCATATTCTAAGTTCACACAATAAATTCCTCATTGTAAATAAGAGTACTGCTACCCAAGCACTAGGGATACTGAGGCAGGAAGATGTAAGTTCAACACCAGCCTGGACTACATAGGTGACTCTGTCTCTCTCATTGTATGTATGACAGACAGGCAGCAGATAGAAGGGGGTTTTGACACAACCTTCATTTCTCTGGTTTTCACCTTTAAAGTTCAAGATTCTTTAACAGTATACACACTGGGAAATAGGTATGTAACTCATTTAACTCATTACAGTATACACACTAGGAAATGGGCATGTAACTCATTTATACATACACATATGTTTTATTTACAAATAAATTATATAAAGCATTCCCAAAATATCCTTTTACTCAGTAAATCAAAATTACATTCTTACAATGAGAATATTTATTTTACAAATATATACGTAGGTTAATGAATAACTTGTTAGCCTGAAATTACGTGGATCAGAAAACAAAATGATCAGCTCATAGAAAAAGCAAATTCAAAAAGTTTCTTTTCACTTTTTCCAAAATTTTAAGGACATGTTTTGTTTGATTTCTCCTTAACGTTCTGAATTAAGCTACCTGCTATGACTCCTTAGAGGGGGTAAAACTCACCCCTTTTTTGTCGTTTTTTTTCACCCCGGGAGGCGATGAAGTTTTCCCTCCTCCTATAGCGAAACCCTCCGCCCGCCACACCCTCAAGTTTGCCTCGTCCTCTAGTCGGCGGCTGTCGGGGTGCTCTGTTGCCTGGGCTCCGGTCCTCCCAAAACCTCACTCCCGCCTTGCCCTAGGGCGTCAACTTCCCTGGCCACCTCCGCCGCTCGCCTCTCCCGCAAGCTCGCGCCCGGCCGCGCGGCACCAAGAAGACGAGAAAAGTTCTGCTGCGCGCCCTCCTCCCCGAGAGGACCCAAATGCCGGTTCCGCGTCGCCGGCAGCGCCGCCCCCTTAAAAAAGCACTTTCCTACCCCCGTAGAAAAAAAAAAAACACCACAGGATGCGCCCCCCCCCCCTCTCCCCTTCCTCCTCCTCTCTCCCTCCCTCCCTCCCTCCCTTCCTTCCTTTCCCTTTTCCCCGCGCAACTTTCCCTAAATAGCAGAAATTGGAGGCGAACTCTAGAAAATTCTCCCACAGTCTGCTGAGACAAGCGCGAGAGGTGGCGAACGGGGAGAGCACATGCAAACTCTCAGGCCCTGCCTCGGCTCGGCTGTCCATGCGCGCGCGCACACACACATACACACACACACACACACACACACACACACACACACACACACACACACCCACACACACACACACACACACACACACACACACACACACACACACACACGGACGCGCCGGCGAGAAGCGCCTCTACCGCAGTCAGCCGATCTGTTCTCCGCAGCCGAGCCGGGAAGTTAAGTGGCCCGGCCTCCTTTCCACTGCCTAGGTCTTGCCCTTGAACTTCCCGCGCTGGCTCGCTGGCCCCCTCTTCAGGTGCCAGCCCCGCGCGTAGGTCGCTCGGGCGAGGGGAGGGGGCGGCAGGGGAGGGGCGCCTGGGCTCGCGACTTCTCTCCGCTGCCGGGACACCAAGTTGCGGCAGCGGTCTTCCCCATGGTCACCTCCCTAAGCTGGCGCCCCTACCTCGGACCGACTGCGTTCGGTGACCCCGGGGGAGGATTGGGCTCTGCAGCGCTCTCCCCACGCCCACGCCGCCACCCTGCGCCCGACGTCAAAAAAGAAGCTTGGGGTGGGGTGCTTACGCATCCGGCCTCCCGTGTGACAGCCGACGCAGCCAACTAGGCACAACGTCTACACCCTTGCTGTGGGTGTAGGGGTCTCTTCCCTCATTTTTCCTACCCCTTTCTCTCTCTTTTTTCTTCTTTCGCACTCGCTACATCAGAGTGAGATGCCCACAGACTCCCCCACCAGTGGTTTCCAAGTAACTTGCCCACCTTTTCCCCCCATTTATATATTTATATATATATGGCTTTAGCACGGGCCGAGCTGTGAATTAATTAGAGATTACATCCGATCCGTCACTTATTACCCCCAAATTCTCTCTTCTTTTTCTCCTCTTTCTGACAAATGATCCACCGCCAGAGAGCACAGTGCTCAAGTGCACTTTCAAAACAGACTCAGGAGAGGGGAAACTGTGCTGGCGCTGGCGCTGACGCTGGCGCAGCCGCCCCCAGGGAGGCTCGCTCTGCCTTCCCCGTCGCTGCAACTAAGCCTTTGGATGCTAGAAAGCAGCAATCGGGGTGCTGGGCCAAGGCGGCCGCCCTCAAACACTGGTTCAGGTATATTCCTGCTATGGGGCTTCGGAGCTTGGTCAAAGAATGGCCCCAACAATGGGAAAGACTGAGAAGGTTCTAGATTTCTTTGTCTACTCTTGCACTTTTCTTTTTTTCCTAAGGCAATTTTTAGAATAGGGAATCCATCATGTGCTGGTTAAATGTGTGCATTGGGCCGCTAAAGAGTGGGTCCTGGTCTCACAGGGGCTGAATACATTGCCACAGGGCAAGAAAAAAAAAAGGTCTAAACTTGTGTAGAGTTTAATTTGCCCTTTTCGAGACTGGAAGAATGCATAAGAAAGTCTGAAACTTGCACGTACTTTGGAATCATTTGGGATCTCATGCAAGTGTACATCTTTAAACCCTAAATTCTGGGCATTCGCCTAGGGAAAGCAGGAAAAGTAATTCTTACCTCTCATGGAGACACTGATCCATTTTGGTTTGATTTTGGTTCTGTTCCCTTAAGGGAGAGTGTCAGCATCTATGTATGCATCAGATGAAATAAGAAGGTCTGCTCTTGCAACCATTAATAAAGACCTATCATTTCAAAACAGTTACTTATACTTTATTTAATCTCTAATGGAAAGGATTTCTCTAAATATTTACAACAGAACAGTTGTCAGAATGAATCGTGAACAATTGCTGGTTATACTCCCAGAAGGAGAGGGCTGGTGGTTGGGGAGAAAGGGAATTTCTGGTCATTTAATTTTAAGCAGCCCTAGAATTTTAGGGAGCTTCCTGCTAGAATCTAAAGAGCTTATATTAGCAACAGGTACTTCAGCTTGAAAAGAAAGTCAAGTAAGATACTTGAAAAACCACTTTAGTTTATGGCTTTTGTAAAAATGACTTCACCACTGGTTGCAGGTTTAAAGAAGAGAAAACACATAGTTTTCAGAGACTGGATAATGGTGAAGCATTGAACTCATACTGAGCTGTGATTTGAAAGGCGGTTTCTATGATGGAATCAGCAGGAAAGCTTCATACATTGTGAGAGGATTACCATCCACTGAGACAATATAAATGCAGCATGCTTGTGTTGAATTACATCGCTTCTCCCCAATAGCCCATAAATTAAGTAGTTTGTCTAAAAACTATTTCATATAAATCTGCAGAATTATAAACATTTTCTTTAAATCACAGACAGCATATTAAAAATTATTGACAAATCATTCTCAGTGGGTGGGTCTCTGGACGCTGAAGATAGCTGTGGTAGTAGGAATCATTCAAAGTACTTCTGCAGCTCAACTGCAAGAGAAAAACTGGATTTTTCTATTACTAGACCGCTGGCAAATTCCAAAGAAATGCAATGAATTCTAAGGCTCTCCTAAGTTGCAAGGAGAAGTAGCTAATTTCACCTCGTTACATGTATGAGAACAGAACACATCTGCCAAGAAACCTGGAGATTGCCGGTTGCTAAAACAATCTGACCAGCAAATGAATTCATCTGTGTATTTAAGATAGTGGTATTTGTTTCCATATGTTTAAACGAAGATCTAGTAGTCTAAGATCAAAGGGATATACTGAATTCGTTCTAGATTAGAAGGAATTGGCAACTTTAAGGACAGTGAGCCCTGGGGTCTTTATGGTTTTGTTCAATTAAAGATCCATCCCACAAGGCAATAGGATACCCTGAGTATTCCAGACTTTCCCCTGGATTATTGTGTACAGATCCCTCTGTGCTTGTTGCATGGAAAGATTTAACAGTCTTTCTGTTTCTTATACTGAAACTTTCACATGATAGCTCCACTTCTTCGTTGATAATTTCTACTTATCTGACACCAGGCTTCTGAAAGCGGTTAGTTTAATTAAGTACAAGGAATCCTAAATTTGTCCTTGGTCTTTTCTAATTGCAGATTTTAGCTCTCCTGCCCTGCCATCATCAAGCATTATCATCTTCTTATCATTAAAAGTCCTTTCACTAATATTATGTCTAAATTGACCTGAGGATGTTTACAGGGATTTGTTTTTCTCTTTCCTTTCTTTCCCCCTCAGATAATTCTTTTTATGAAGACTGAATTCCTGGGGCTCTTTTTATCTGCTGGGGAAGGGAGGAGGCAGACTTGTCATGATGACAGCAGGCCTTCTCTGTGTGGGTTTTGCACTCTTGCAGACAGACAGGTGCTTTATGAGGATTGTGACTTGCACTGCACAGCCAGTGGTGGGTGCTGGTGGCATATTTCCATCTCATAAATGCTTGGGGGTGATAAACTATTGAGAAGAAAGTTGGTGGGAAAGCATTGTTTTGGATAGTTTTCTGCTTTCTGTAGCTCTTGATTACTCCCAATCTTTAGGAACAAGTAACTAGGTCTGAGCAAGGAGCAATGTCTTAAGCATGCTGTGATGACCCTCCTCCCAAGGAGCCTGGCTTTCCTCAGTCTAGTTACTTCTGGCAATTGTGGTTGTTGGGATTTGGCCTAGGACTCATTGCAACACAAATTTTCCCAAAGAGTCCCTTTAATGATGGTGCACAGTGCGATCGGTAATTAATGATTCTCCAGACTAGCTTAATACAAAATATACAGCTTTAAAAAGCAGAAGGAAGGCTTACACCAGAATCCCAATCCAGATGCAGGAGCCAGGCTAGGGAGCTAGGTGAAGCGCACCCGCCAGGTTTATAAGTAAATTTTTGCTTTAGGGCAACATGCCCCACAGACAGAATGTCATTGGATGAACTCCCCTATCACCTTAACAAGCCCAGTGAGCTCTGACAGGAAGCCCAGACTTCCACCTCGTTTTTACACGGAGTTTTCCCTAATTTATGGCAAGGTTTGAAAATTCTGTATGGACTTTAAAAGATAATAAACAAGAGTTAGTGAGACAACTGCTCAGAGAAGAGCAGAGTAGGAGAAAAATGAAAGCATTTTTGAATTAATGATCTGCCTTCAACTTAATCCATTTGATTAAGTCTTCCCCCCTCCCAATGCTATTTATAGTAGTCTTACTGATCACCAATAGTCAAGCTAAGCTAGTCAGGAATTGTAGAGACTTGTAAAATTGTAAAAGGAATTGTAAATGGAAGGAATGTTTACATCTTGTTAGGCAGTTGCCTCCCCATTAAGGTTTCCCTGACAGCAAGAAGGATACCGGGCACATCACCAATCATCTGGTAAGATATTAAAACAACAACAACAAAAAACAAAACCCCAGTTGTTTATGATTAAGTAGTTCGAAAATAAGTTTGAGCATGGCTTGCACCCCATTTTACTTCCACAGTTGCACTGCTCCCTCCCGGGCCACCACAGCAGTGCAGTCCCCTTCCCCTGAGGGCTACCCTGCAGGGATCCAGCACACTCTCCTGCCCATGCCTTCCTGTGTGCACTTTGCTCTCTTTTTAGAATGAAGTGATTGATTCTCTTTCAGACAGCCCTGCTTGCTCAACTCATTGCCTTGAATTTATCAATTTCCTATTGAGAAATCAGACCCTGCAGTCAGAGGGCTTTCTGCTGTTTAGATGATACATATCTCATCGCTTATCACACTTCACACCGATGATACACATCTCCTCCCTTATCACACTTAACATAGATGATACACATCTCCTCCCTTATCACACTTAACATAGATGATACACATCTTTTCCCTTATCACACTTCACAGATGATACACATCTCCTCTCTTATCACACCACACAGGTTTATTTTGTCCATCTAATTCTCATAAAACTGGCATAGTTTTCAACAGTTGCTTAGCAGTTATGCATATCCTTGAATTAGGGATCTGAAGATATAGCCCTCTTAGGTCTGCATTAGTATCCCCAGGACAAGTTTTAAAACTGAGACTATGTAGTCCCTGTCTCCAGAGATGGCATCATCGGGGCTAGTTGTTTTTTATTGTTAAAGCTCTCCAGGTGATTCTAGTATGAACTCAGCATCTCTCCATATGAAGGCCCTTAAAGCAAAAATTCAGAATGAAAATTATTAATGGCCTTGATGAGAGTAATATGAATAAGAGACTCTATGAAATATCATAAAGATAACTTTCTGGATAACAAAAAAACTAGTCAGGGAAATGCCAATTGTGACTGTACAATTATACAAGGGTTTTGTATAATTATATAATTATACAAGGGTTTTGACTTTAAACTACAGAATTACAGCTTTGCCCACATCTTCATGCCTAAATAAATCTTGTCTTAGATATATAAGACATAAATTTGGAAGACGGATTTTATAATACATCAAATAAACCATGTGATTTTATTGCTTGTGGTTTAAAAATGATGGGCGGCTTAGGTTAGAAACTGCCTTTAGGGAAGGTTGAGGAGAGAGGACAAAGGAGAGTGGTGAGCTGGAGAACACAGGAGTGAGTGAGAAGAGCCAGTAGGAAGGAAAGGAAGAGAAAGACTAAGGTGGAGTTTGAGAGCACAATGACTCAGGGACCAAGCTCCAGAGTGAAAAGAAGGTGAATCTTGAAAGGCCTGGACTTGAAGTTAACCTTGAATGGCCATCTAGGAACGGAATATCATCTCTGTGATAATAGAATAAACAATAAATAATAATAAACAAATAAAATGAAACTCCACATTACTTCTAGGATGGGTGTGTTGAATGGGATCTTATTGGGAACACACCAAATAAAGTGTTTCTTCTGAGAGGCGAGAAGATAATTACGGATTATTGTTACTATAATATGCTCTTTAAAAGACAAATGCAAATGCTAAAGTAAAATACAGAGAATGCTACTGTGGCCTGAGATCCACGAAACTCTACTTTCATATGAGGCATTTAACATACTTGGACTTATCATTCTCTCACCTCTCTGTCGAAATGACACTTGTTCTGTGTATGTGATAACCCTTGTGGAGGTGACCATACTCATACCTGTAAGGTTCCAGTGTAGCTGTCAAACGCAGCAATCCTTCACTTATTTGACTAAATATATGTCGGGGAAGTGGTTTTCTAAAATAAGTAGCTTCTAGATTCTGTTACTTTACAATGTGTGGTCGTGGTTTTATTATGTAGTAAAATGTGAACCTTTTCACCACTCAGTTTCAGGAATGTACTATTTATTGGGTTATAATTATAATTATGCTTCTGAGCGTATTTCTAGAAACAGTTTTGGGGAGGGGATATACAGCCTACTTTACTGCACATTAATTTTATAAAGGTGTTCAAAAGTAAGATAAATCTAACTCATTCCTCTGTAAAGTCCTTAAAATAAATAACAAACCTTGGACCTGACTATTATGATAGCTGGTTAAAGACCGATTGGATGTTGCACAATGTAGATGAAGTAACTGCATGCCTTCCAATTTCATCCTCTCCTGAGATGAGCACACTTCCACTGAGAAATCTACTTGAAAGGGGCAAAGCCCTAGATAGATGCTAGGTCCAAGTACAGTGGTTCAAAGCCATTCAGCATCTCACAGGAATGTGTCTTCCATTACTAGAAAGTTTTTCAAGTCTCCTTATGATCAGTGACAAAGCAACACGTTCCACACATAGTAGAACTTCTAAGCCTAATGGTCAACTACACAGTTTGACAACTTAGAACTATCATTCGTGACACCCGCAACCATTCTCTTACATGACAGAAAGTACTATAGCCAGGAAATTCCTGTTGAAAATAATACATTAAAGCATTTAACATGAACTAAATGATTTAATGTAATCACACTGACACTGCATGAATAAACACTTTTATAAATAAAGGAAGGAATCCCAGGTTTTTTAAAAATCATCTATGTCCAGCTATTCTTCCTTCCTTCTTTCTTTCCTTTCTCCCTCTCTCCTTCCCTCTCTCCCTCATTTCCTCCTTCCTTCCCTCTCTCCCTCATTTCCTCCTTCCTTCCCTCTCTCCCTCCCTCCCTCCTTCCCTCCCCACTCTCTCTTTTCTATAGTGACACTCCTGTCCTTCACTGCAGCCCTTGTTCCTCTCTGAAATTGGAGCTCAAGTCCTAAGTGTCCTCCAAGCTCCTCAAATTAAAGATAACTCAAAAGTAAAATACTTTTTTTTTTAACCAATCCTACTTGGCTCATTCTTGTCTTTGCCTTGTCTATTTTTTTTTATTTACCAACATCTGAATCCTTATGCTCCTAAATTGATGTCAAATATGGTCTTACTTCCTTTTCTTCTTCATACTCAATTAAGAACCAAGGGCTATTGATTTCACCAACATGAGTCATCTGCTTTATTCTCACCATGCTGTGTCATAGTGTGGGCCTTTTGTTCCTAATGTGGTTATCAGATTTCACTTCTCCTTACTTCCACAGGGTGCGCTTTTTTAAAAAAATAAATGACTCAACCCTCTTATCTTACCACAGAGAAAATGCTGTCTACTATGGTAACAAGGGTTTGTGTGGGTCCTGTAAATACTAGTGACCGTGCTGGGTCATGAATGGAGATCTTTAGCTCTCATTCCACTCTTCCTAATTCCCATTGGGGATTCTCTCTTTTCAGGTCTCAGTCTCTATCACAAACATATGAAACTTGTTTGTTACTAAATTATTAAAGATCAGATGCAACACTACATAAAACAGTGCCTTGAAGAGTTAGGCAATATTCTGCGTAAAATGCAGACAGTTGCAATTAACCCTGTGTATGATTGAACCTACTCTTTGGTTCCACTCAACTGTTTCTGTCACTCTCCAGAGAACTGTAGTGGTGATAAATGGTACCTACATCTCTTACAGACCTTGTGATCAAGGCAGAGATGACCTTAGAAGGTAAGAGGCACTGTCAGTGGATGTTTTATGAATGAGCACTGTCCATGTACAAAATGATTTCAGATACTTTATTTTAAGTGTTGCCTTGTTGAAATTTTCAGGTGGAAAAATTGGAATCTTAGCATTCAGTGACACCCAGACATTTAGCATTCCTGACAAATTATAGCCCTTGATAATGGAACACTCCATTGTTTTTAGCACTTCTTAATGAATATTATCATTAGAATGCTAGTAATACTTCTGAATTAAAAGATGTAACTGGGTACATTAAACAAACAAAAGTTCTCCAGTATCTTCCACAAATTCCTATTTATACTTTATGTATATTATTAAGCTTATTTGCAAGGTATTTGAAATCTGCTAGTTGACTCAACAAATGGTAATTTCCAAGATGACTTGTTCATTGCAATCTTTAAAAAGCTGCAGCAATCTGTCTGCATTTTCTCACAAGGTCAAAAGCAGGACAAAATCCACCAAGTTATGAGTCAAGATATTTCAACTTATTGTTTTGGAAATAACACCAGTGTACAACAAATATAAGAAGGGACCTTCTTCGCTAAGTCAAACACAATTCCAACACATTGTTATGACTGGCTCTTGATATATTCTCAGAACTTTTGGAAATTTTCCTAATTGCAACCAAAGTTAATTCTTACATTTCATGAAACACAATAACCACTCGGGTGGTATTTTAGGAATTCACTGAAAGTTGAGAATGGTATTTTTGCTGAGTGGGAATAGGTGTATGAATCAGGGAAGTGCTCAAGTTGAGTGCTTTAAAAGAAGATAAAGAGAAAAAAGTAGTAAATTAGAATATCTGTAATAATCGTACTTTTTAAAGTTCATTTTTGTAATTTCAGAGTAATATATCAATATTTCTTTATGTAAGGTTCTGAAATGCTTTATCATGAAGGATTAATGATTAGACATTTAACTAGGAAGTCATTTAGTAGCAACCTAGAGATCCCTACCCAGATTCAAATAATCTAAAAGGATCAAATGTCTAATAAAGTCATTTTGCAATAAAATCAAATTTTGCTCCATGTTGTAGTTTCAATTCATTGCTTTCTGGAGACCTAATTTGTAGAACATTAAAAACCATAGAACTCTCTAATGGAGAAATGGCTCAGTAAAGCCTATCTAGTTACAAGCTTAACTGCTGCTCACAGTGCTGGTCAAAGGACTATTGAAATGTTCATGGTACACCCTTTTCACTTGCTCTTATATCCTCAATGCTTAGAGTGACACGGGCTAAAATGACAGTATTTCTAATTACCATTTTTCAAGTGCTTAGGAAAATCTCTCTACTGAAGCAGTAAACACAGATTTAAAATAGAGTAGCAACAAGGTATTATGGGAAACAACCTTTCTAGTTCAAAGATGGCTCCCTTAGAACTTAGAAAGGTGAATTCATTTTGTTTCTATTTTTGTGTTGCCTCCGCTTCCTAGGAAATTGAATTTAACTTTGATTTTCATTCATATTATATAATATACCTTAGATGCACTTTCTCCATCAGATTTTGCTCATTCCTTTGTCCAGCTATTTTTCTCAAAACTGAGGCATATAGGTTACAAATGTAGTCCAGTGAGGAAAAAATGTGTTGTTCCCAACCTCCAAATGAAACATCCAAATTAACATCTTAAAATATCAGTGTGTTCTTCTTTCATCTGTTAACTTGTCTTCCAGAACCAGCAGTAAAATCACCAAGAGTACATCAGAACCTTACACCATAAGTCAGCATTTGCTACACTGTCATAAGCAGTGATCAATATATTCCACTAAGTATATTATCAGTGTAATTATTTTTTGTCGTTTTCTTGCTTCTTTTTCATGTTTCTCTAAAGAGTGTAGTAACTGTTTTTTAATTGTTAAAAATATAATGAATTTCTAAAACATGCCTGGTGTCTAGTGTGAAACACTAAGAAGAAATAATAGATGTTCATATTTGAAGAGCATCTTGGTCCCTGATGGTAACGCTCTGGGGCAGTATCATCCTACAGAGCCCTTTGGATAATCAAATAATGTTGAGAAAGTTTGGTGTGCAATATTTGACATTTGTCCACGTTGTAGCAATATTTATCAAGACTATGCTATTTGAGCAGAATAGCTTATTCTCTAAACGTATTGGGAAAATGACAATCTGGAGATCATAAAGTTAATTATTCTAATAGTCTGATACCCTCTCAACAGCAGGGTCAGAACATAGTATAAATTATAAAGGGCAAGGAGATCCATTGAAGAAGACAAGCTTCATTCACTGACTCTCTGGGAGGCTACTTGGGTTTTGATTCTTAAACTCATTCTCTGCAGAAGCAAGATCAATGCCATCCAAAATGACACCTTGTGAAATGTGATGCATCAGGAAGGGATTGCGATTGTAATGATACGATGATGCTTAAATTTTATTAATATGCAAACCAAAATTTGGTTTTTACCAAATTTTAGAAGTTTGGTTTTTACCAAGCTTCAAAGGAAAAAGCTCACAAGGCTGGAAAGGAGATTAAAGATGGAGTTTAGGTTTTGTAAATTAGCACCCAGCATGCAATGATTATCTCCTATGGGAGGCATAGGATGGAGGTTGAAAGGTCTATTTCCTCTAGTAGCTGATGCTGGGGAGACAAGGAGACCCCAGATGAATGCGGTGGAAGGGAGCAAATGCTCAACACAAACCAAAACAACAACAACAACAAAAATCAAAACAAAATAAAAATTCCAAACCAAAAAGCAAACCCTGCACTTACTTCTTCCGTGGGATGCCTTTTGGCTGCCTATGTATTCTATCAAGTTCAAAATGATTAAAAATCAAGAAATCAGTCGCAAGTGCATAGTGACCCAGTGATGTTTCCCTTCTTTCCTTTTTCTGTTGACTGTTAGTTATATTAAATTTTTTTTAAAAAAAATATGTCCCTAGGTTTTAGGTATGTCTATATGGAGCACTGAAGAACCAGAGCAGAGGGACTTATCCGCTGAGATCCAACAGGCGTGATGACAAGCGAAACCAGGCGGATGGGCAGGGTAACAAAAAACTGCGTTCTCAAATTGTTGGAACACAGCCATCTGCACTGATGTGGCTGTCGTCGAGGAGAGCAAAAGTTGCAGGAGACTCCCAGCAGGTTGGTGGCAGGTTAGTCTCGGCTGTGCTGGGCGGTGGGCAGGATCCCCGAGAGCAGTGACCCCTGGGGCTCAGAGGCTGCGGTGGCTGCAGCAGTGGCTTGGAACCTGGGAGTGCTGGGGAGCCGACGCCACAGGTTTCGTGGCCACTGCCAAGGGGCGCTTGAGAGACCCGAGCAGCTTCTGGCATTCTAGTGTTCCCGAGGAGAAGTCGCCCCAGTGTTGGGCAGGGCTGGAGGCACCACATTCGGGAGGAGAGGGGGGGAAGGGGAGAGAGGGATAGCTGCGGGGTGGGGGGGCAGTGGAACTAGGAGAAACTGCGACAACCTCAGTGCCTTTCAATTTCAAGAGGAAAGAGGGAGCTGGAAAAGTACAGGCTTTGCGATTTGGCAGAGGGACCAGAATAGGCCCCTAAGGGGTCCTGGATCTGTGCTGGAGCATCTCTGGACTCCGCAAGGACTGCCTGAGAAGAGAAGAGGTGAGGGAGGCCATCAGAGAAATAATTAGGACAGGGTTAGGTGGGTGCGCTGGGGCTGGGTATGCTGTTTCTGATCCAGCTGTCCCAAGTACTCCAGGATCCAATGGTCCTGTTGTCTTCAGCCTCTGGCAGAGCTCTCCACGTTGTAGTCACCCAGTCCCTTGGCTTTCTAGCGACTCCTCCTCACTCCAGCAACCAGTCCTGGGCAACCACCGGCCTTGCCTCTCTTCCATTGGTCGCATGTTTCCAGGGTTTTCTGGTCACAGATTCCTCTCAAGCTTCTCGGTTTCTCTCTGTTGCTGTCTCCCCTTCCCGCTCTCCCCCAAGGAAAGTAGCTGTGATCAGGTGCTGGGGAGGTGATCCCAAGGGGTGATTAGGTGGGCTTTATCCTTCATCTTGAAGGTGATTTACCTGATCTCAAGGGAGGAATCAGAGGTGTGTGCTTTGGGGACCTTCTGAATGGAAAAGCTATCCTGCTGAAGTTGCCTTCCAAATCCAGCCTTTGGTGTGGTTCTGAGAGATTCCTCCTCCTCCCAGGCAGTTCTCCCTGTATTCAGCTCACCTGTTAGGTGCTCTCTCTTGTCTCTTAATGTTCTTGAGAGGATCTTTTGTACATCTAGTAGTCTAGGAATACTATGTGGAAAGACTGTCCCCATTTAGGGGGGGAGTGCAAAAAGGTCCATTTCTTGCTTCTGTTTCCAGCTCAAGTCGGGTGGGGGTGGAGGACACAGACAGTAGCAGGGAAAACCAGGTTCCCAGGCCAACACAGCACTGGGGAGGAGACAGGGCCCTGAGGTGCTATCCACTGTTGAAGTCCTAGTCTTTTCCAGAAACACAAACCCATAAACTCTTCTGTCTTTACTGATTTATTTCATTGAAAGTTACAAACCTCAAGGCATTTTACATGTAAACCTGCCCTGAGAGTACTTAATAGTATTCCGAAGGGTTCTGCAATGCCAAAGCTTTATGCAAGGCTGGATGGCAAGCAGACCACTTTGAAAACCAAGTAAGATAGATGTGCAGGGTTGCCTTCTATTTATCTGCCCACAAATTAGAGGAGAAGCAAAGGTCATAGCCCCTACCTGTCCCATTTTGTAATCTTTCAAAAACACCCCAGGTTACTGACCTCCTGAATCTTTATACCTGTATGTTTCTTATATGCCCCAAAATTGGGATTGAAGAGGCGAAATGGCCTGGACACAAAAGTCAGGGAACTTCAAACAGGCATTCTTTGCAAAGCCTTAAAATACAACGTCTGGGAGGATGGATTTTTTTCTGCTAAGTCTTTATTAAATGTCTATTATTTTGCCTACTTGTATTTGAAATTTGAAAGCAGGCATAATATCCTGCAAGTTTGATATGTGAGAAAACAATAATCTTGTCGAGAGTATAATTTTTTAAACTTATTTTTAAGAATTCCCATTTACCACACAATTCCTTTTTCTGAGGTAAAACTTTTTTTTCTGAACATTCCACAAGTAGCGGAAGCTACCTGAGATCATGAAATACACACACACACACACACACACATATTGTGGTGGAAGCAGGCACTCTGCATCAGATGCATTACATCTACTGGTAAATGATAGTTTTCTCTGAACTAGAAAAGTCACAGGTGACCATGCGATTCCAATGATGAATATCTGTGTCTGTCCCCATCAGCATTTTGTTCTTTCTTGCTTAATACCCCAGATTCAGAATATCTGCATCATAAAATGTGGAGGATTTAAAAGCTATGGGAGGCTCCCTTTGCACAGGACTCCAGAGACTGCCTTTCTAATCCAGGATACTTGAGCAGGACGGAATGAGATTGCAAAAGGCACATGAAAAAGCAATATGGTGAAAAGTTCAGGGAACTAGGCAGGCAGAAAGACACTCACTTCTCACGGTCTGCTCTGCAGACTTATGTTCCTGAGGATGAGAACAGGAATGGCAGTGGAAGTAAATAAACAAACCCAGTGAACTAAGGTTCTTGAGCTATCCCAGAAAAAGATGTGTTAGAGTCAGTGGGCAGGAAAAGCTTGTGAAGGAACAAACACCATTCAGAGGAAACACAAGGAAAACATTAAGTAAGTGGGGAGAGCATTCTTTCTTTCTTGACATTCGACTTTAGAATAACATTTTTTTTTCTTTTTGGTCCATGTTACCTTGGTATTAAAGGTGTATTTACTTGCCTGACTGAGTCTTACATTCCCTCAGCTGTCCCAGAAGGTTAGAGAAGGCATGCTGTGGACTATTTTGTGCAATAAAGTACCCATTTTTCCAATTCAGTAAAGAAAACAATGCTCATAGAAATTGGCATTAGCTCTCGGAGCTCCAGACCAAAGCACGTTAAAAGCCATGGGTGCAGCACAGTTTATCAATGCTTTGATAAAGATCTGCCTGCTGGTGTGTCTCAGGAGACTGGAAATGACTGCTAAGACTGTGAAGACTGCAAGTAGTGCACACTCCTGAACACTAGGATGCAAAACTAAGAGCATTACAGCATTTTTGTATCTTAACCATGTCTTCCCAAACTTAACAAAATTGCTACTGTAATTTATATTTGTTAATGATTACATAAAATTATTTTGATCCATCATGACCATTTCCAAATGGCTGCTAGAGGAAACCTTCAATGTGGACAGTTATGCTCAACTGAATGCTAATATCTATACTACATTCTAATTTAGGGATGGCCACAGCTACCAAAAAAGACTTTACCTAATCATCTTGAAATTGATGTACTCTCATTTCCTGAAAGTTATCTTGTCCTATAATTACTCTTTCTCTTGAGTCATACTGTTCATCCTGTGACGGGGAGCACAAACGTCACCTAGACTATGGTGTCATTGCTTTGGTTTGAGTTTCAAAGCTCCTTCTTGTGGATTTCTAGTAATAATAGTCTCATCATGGATGTCTTTAGTGATTTCTATAGTCACATTTCATAGATACATATACATTCATATATACATATGTATGCACACACAACACACACATATAGGTAGATAAATAGGTACAAACTAAGTTGTCTAAATATGTAATTTTACTGAAAAGCACAGGGCAGTGAGGATTCAGGACTTCAAAGATATCACTGTTAGAAAAGAAAAGAAGGAGAGAATGATTTCAGGTCTGGAAGGAGAGAGCAGAATGTAGAACAAAGAAGACAGATCCAAGTCTCTTGACATTTGATCCATTGTGTTTAAATGGCTCTCAGGAGTCAGGAATTGCTGTGTCCGTGGGGAACTTGGAATCAGAGATTAGAAGACACTCAGAAACTTACTCCTGTGCTCTTGGGAATTTATAGATTTTTCAGACAAAGGATTTTTGCAGACCAGACACATCTTATTTACATGAAAATGCAAGAAGTGGCCTAGGGGCTCTCCCTGTTACACTGGCCTGAGAGCATCCCTGGACTCTACAGAGCCTGGGAGCACAGTGCTGCCTCTGGTAGACTGGCTGTTGCTGTTTTCTGGATCCTTAGAGTTCACATTTCCTGACACCCTGACACTTCCTTAGGCCTGGGGCATAAATGGACAGAAATGACAACAAAACTGAAATTAATTGCTTAAATAAACACATGTGGGGAGCCAGGATTGAATCTGCTACATTCTATCATCAGTGTTGCTGTGCTCATGGCAACACATAGGAAGCCGTCGTCAGATGGAGAACCAGACTGGGAAAAGCGTGGGTAAGAAATATAGTTATGTGGTCACTGACCTGCTGATATTTTCTTTGTTAGATCCGGGGTCCCTCATTCAGAATATCCATCACATATTAGTCAAGATATATGCAGAATGTCAGTAAAGAAAACTTTAAAAATACGAAAATGGTAATTTAAGGATAAATTCCCGTTGGCAAACTGGAAGAATGAATGAAAGATAGAGCCATTGAGTTCTTTGAAACAAAATAGAGCCACTCTTGCTGAATTACCTGGTATTAGAAAGTTCAATGATCCAGTTTCTTTTATGTCTAGCAAGCTTTTTGTTTTGCTATTGCTTTTATTTGTTGCTTTTCTTTGCTATGTTTTGATATTGCTTCTCCTATAGCCATGGCTAGCCTTGAACTCCCCTATAGCCAAGGCTAGCCATGAACTGATTCTCCTGCCTCATTCTTGCCACCTCTAAGCTCTGAGAGTATCGATTTGTGCTACCACGGCCAGCCTGTCTATCATTAAATAATTATTTTATGTCGTCTTGCAGTTTTCTTCACTATAATGAAATACTGGAAAGAAAGAGTAGAGGTTTATACAGCTCACAGCATCAGCTTGACACAGGGCTGGAACATGCAAAAGGGAGAGTCTTGCCCTGAGAGTGATTCAAGGACTAGGTTTGTCTTCTAACAACTTCCTGTTACTGTTTAGGGAGCACTGAGGCCCCAGGATGACTACTATAATCTTCCCAAGAACAGCTTTCAGTGATCTAAAGATCTCCCAGTAGCTCTCACCTCTTAAGTCTTGCTGACCCCCAGGAACAAAGCAAGTGGCAAGGTGAGTTCAGATGCAAGTGCTTCAGAGAACATACAGAGTCCTGGAGAGAAATGAATATAATCTGTCCCACTGGACAGGTATTTCAGTGGTGTACACCCCCTTCCTTCAGATCAGTGGATTTCAATCTGTAGGTCACAGCCCCTTTGATGGATGAACAACCCTTTCCCAAAGGTCACCCAGGACTATTGGAAAACACAGATATTTACATTACCATTCATAACAGTAGCAAAATTACAGTTATGAAGTATCAATGAAAATAATTTTCTGGTTGGGGTCATCACCACATGAGGAACTGTATTGAGGGTTGCAGCATTAGGAAGGTTGAGAACCACTCCTCTGAATGCTATGTTATTGATAACCTCTCAGGATCCCATATTACCAAGTCCACAGGAGCTTTCTCATCTTTTATATGGGTGAACTGTGCAGGACTCCTGTTAACTTGTAGGAACTGGAGGACAAAGAAAACATGTTTGGAGTCCGAAATAAGAGGCCAGAGTGCCTGGTGATTTTATGGGTTTGTGGTGAGAGAAGTTTGGTTCTGCTGTAGAATGTTTCCTGTTGCATAGCTTTGGCCAGCAAAGAAAACGCAACACCGGACTCTTTTCAATTGTAGTTTAATCAGGAAAACTTCAATAATCTTCTCACCCTGGGGAAAGCCAGCCCACACCTAAAATAGCCTCTGGGTAGCCAACTCCAGCAAGCCACGTGGGAAATACAGATAGGCCCAGGTACACAGAAACAAGCCAGATCCTTAGCTTTAGCCATGTTGGAGTTATTTACAGCTGAAAGCACATTCCACCCGGGGGGTGGAGTGTAAAGCCCCATGCCATCTTTAAGGTGCGGCACAAAGCAGCTCACTACATTTCCTCCTTTTTGTTTTAGACGCCACAGGTAAGAGTAGAGGCCTGCTCTCTGTGAAATGTTTTCATTTCACAGAGCCTTGTATTGATCCTCCCTAGGTGTCTTTTACTCAAAGAGTGTTAGACTGGCTCGATGCCATTTTTTAGAGGTGGGAACTTGGGCATCAACCCACATGTAGCTAGGCGTGTTCTTCTCAAGGTTAGCAAAAGGCCGCCCTTGAGTGCAGTGCCTTGTCTTGTACCCTGGATGTGTTAAATTATCCTTTTATGGTGGCTAACCATGCTTAGGGGGATTGGCCAGCCTCTATGGCCATAAAGGCTTGTATAATCATGGCTGTACTGTGACGCTGAGAGTCCCTAATCCGACAGATACACCACAGGCAGGCTAGAGAGACCAACACCAGAAGGCCAGCTAACGCTCCCAAGCCCGCCCACTCCTTTAGATGATTCATGGCTGTGGTGATCCAGGACGAGAGTCCCTCAGCCATGCCAGCATCCACTCGAGTAGAATTCATGGTAACAATGGTCACCCTCAGCTGCTTCATCATGGCACCAAATTCTCCAGTCCTGTTACCTAAAAGATAACTAGACAACTGTTTAGACAAATTTGTAACATGGGTAAAGTATTAGTCATGGCATGGGAAGCATCCACAGGCACAGGCATGATGCTTCTTAAAAAAATCCTAACAATGGATGTCTGGGATAATGATTATCTATGTTGTCATCAAAACCACACTGCAAAATAGCCCAATCATCTATCGTAGCACACAAGATCTTAACTTGGTGGCTGGAATAGGGCACTATAATGGAGATGGGGGCAGTTCCAAAATATTGTAAACATTGCTGAATCCATTTCAGGGCTAAAGTTGCCACAGCAGTAGGATAATGCTCAAGAGCGTTGGCTGGAGATATTTTGAGATAAATCCAAAGCAGTGGCCCATTTTGCCATAACAACCCTGTAGGCTGGTGATATGAAGGCAGAATGCACAGAACAATGTTTTGGCCCTCTTGAATCCTCTGCAGAAAGGCATCTTGTAATCTATTTTTCACTTTTTTTAATGCCTCACATGCTTCATTAGTCAGTTGCCTTGGAGAATTTAAAGCAGAATCTCCATTTAAAATATCGTATAAGGGCTTTAACTCATAATTTGGCAACTTTAAATAACATCTAAGCCAATTTATATCGTCTAACAGCTTTTGAAAGTCATTCAAGGTCTTTAAATTATCTTTTCTCAATTTTACTTTTTGTGGAATAATTTGCTTTTTACAAATTTGTGCTCCTAGATAATTTACAATTTTATCCTTTTGTACTTTATCAGGGGCTATAAATAGTCCCTCTTTTTTAAGCAATTTAATTAACTCCACATAGGCTTGTTCCAAGTCCGAGCAGCATATCTCTGTCCCATGCTGGATTTTTAGCTGCTTGATTAGCTGAGGCCTGCTCGCTAGCAAACTCAATCAAAAAGGCTCTCCAGTCTAAGTACTGTCCAGGGCTCAGGCATGTACGAGTGAGCCCACTCCAGTCACTGGGCGTCATGTAATATTGGTTTAGGGCTTCTGCCTGTGTCACAGTAAAAGAGACTGTAATTCCATAAATTCTCACAGACTTAACCAAGGACTTACTCACCTTAAAAATCAGAGGCTCTTTGTACCTGTTTCCTTGGGGACCTTGAAACATTGGATATGCTAATTGCAGCTCAGTTCTCACCACTTTTCAAACGCCTAGATAAAATGTGCATCCAGAACTTCCCTGACGTCCTCCCACATAAGGTGGAGGGGTGGAGGGTGTCGGGTGTCGTGGGGCAAAGCATCAGCGTTTTTGAACCTCCTTTCTCCTTTTTTTTCACCCTCTTTCTCAGTCTTGCCTTTTGCAATTTTCTTGCGATTGTCTGTATTTGCTTATCTGACTCTTCTAACTCAGAAAGGTCCCTGTATAACTCTCCCCATTCCTGATGATTTCTTTTACTGCTTGCCTTTTTTGACCTTTTCTCTTACAACATTTTTAGCGCTGTCTGTTCATTTTCTACCGCTTCACTACAACGCTGGTCCTCAAAACAGTCTCTAATTAACTTTCAAATTGGCTTGACCCCTCCCTTAAGGATCCCTTGCTCAAATGCAAAATCTAGGTCTCTCCCTATCTTTTCCGATATCAAGAGACTCCCTGAGACGGCGAGCCAGGGTGCAATGGCGTCACTCTCGTTCAGAAACTTCTCCAAAAAACTTTGTTTTATCTCTAGATTCTTTGAACATAGCAGCTCGTTAAGAGCAAAAAAAAAAAAAAAAAAAAAAAATGGGTGTGATTGATTAGCGCCCATACTTGATTTATATATTTTTTTTACTTTTGTTTTGTCAACTTGAGAAACTGCTTTTTACTCATTCCTTATTTATGGAATGAGCAATAAATCTCTCGCTTTGATCGCGGTTTTCCCCCTTTATTTTCAGGGAAAAGCAATTAACCCCTGGTCTGCCAGGGTTGCTTTCTCTTTAATTACCGAGAAAGCTATTAATTAATCCTGCTTTAACAGCAGTCACTTTCCCTTTATTTGCAGGGAAAGCAATTATTTAACCCTACTTTAGTCGTAGGATTCCCATTCACCTGGGAACTATTGCCCCTGCTGTGATCGCAGGATTCCCAGCTTACCTGAGGACAATTCCAGTGCACTGCCCTGACTGCAATGAGTTCTGGGTCCTTGACAAGCGGTTCCTGGGGTTCGGCATCACCTGTTGCGTCGCTTTGGCCAGCAAAGAAAACGCAACACCGGACTCTTTTCAATTGTAGTTTAATCAGGAAAACTTCAATAATCTTCTCACCCCGGGGAAAGCCAGCCCACACCTAAAATAGCCTCTGGGTAGCCAACTCCAGCAAGCCACGTGGGAAATACGGATAGGCCCAGGTACACAGAAACAAGCCAGATCCTTAGCTTTAGCCATGTATGGAGTTATTTACAGCTGAAAGCACATTCCACCCGGGGAGTGGAGTGTAGAGCCCTGTGCCATCTTTAAGGTGCAGCACAAAGCAGCTCACTACAGTTTCCAAAAGAAAATGAAGTTAAGGGGGCTGGAGAGATGGCTCAGTGGTTAAGAGCATTTCCTGCTCTTCCAATGGTCCTGGGTTCAATTTCCGGCAACCACATGGTGGTGCACAACCATCTTTAATGAGGTCTGGTGCCCTCTTCTGGCCTGCAGACATACACACAGACAGAATATTGCATACATAATAAATAAATAAATAAATAAATAAATAAATATAAGAAAAAAAGAAAATGAAGTTAATTTCCCTTGAGTGGCAAATTGTGCCAGCATAAGGCTTCTCTGGACAGCTGAAATTTCCAACAGAGCCAGATGTAATGAGTCAGCACTCGGGGGTCTTTGAGTTTGAGGTCAGCCTTGTCTACACAGCAAGTTCCAGGAGAGTTAGGGTTGCGGAGTGAGACTGTCTAGAACTGAAAGTATTGCAGAAGACCATCTAGCCATCATCATCTGTCACCTTATTTTTAATATGTGCCCTGATCCCTGAAAGATTACGGGATTCTCTTGACACGCTCCTGGCAAAATTAAGTCTCCTTGCAACTAGAATGCTGCTTAAGATACCGGGCTTCTGAACGCTGTTCCATCAGCCATCCTGTATGCCATTGTTCTCCTGCTTTAGAAGTTTCCATCCTTGTCCTGCATCTCTGGTGTCTGAGAGCTCCCTCCTCAAGCAGTTCCTCTGTCTGCTCCCATCGCTCTGCCCTCTCTATGATACAGGGCTATTCTGACATTGCCCTTGGTTCCCATTTTCCTTCGAAACTGAGATCTCTTCACACACTTTAAAACAGTTAGGACTTTGTCAGTTTTTGTGGGACCAACACTTTAATTCTAGATCTCTTTAGTAATATATAGTAATTTCTTTCCTTCCTTCTCTCTCTTTCTCTCTCTCTCTTTCCTTTTTTCTTTCCTTCTTTCATTTTTTTAAACTGCTTCTCATACCTTCTTGATCTGTAAAGCCTCTGATCAGGTGACTTCTGGATAGAACTGAGAGAAGACTGCTTTGGCATGCAGCTTAGTGACTAAAGGCTGTATTTATCTTTATAACTAAGAAAATTCACATGGATTTGTTTCACAAACAGGCTCTGTTTCATTCTTCAGCTGAACTTAATTAAAAAAAGCCTATTCAGAAAAATTAGGCATTGTGTTTATGTATTATTTATTTTTGCATTGCTAAATTTATTCATTTATTTTTAAGTTACTGTGATGAATAAAACCCACTTGGATTCTGCTTCTACACTGTCCACCAGAGAGCAAGCTGGGGGCTTACTAAGGAGAGAGTAACCACACAAATATTAATAGTGAGAATGACACCAAAGACAGAAAGAACACAGGTTTTTAGATGTTTATAACTTATTGATGAAGAAGGCTTTAGAAGTGTGTTAATGAATACATTATTCTGTATCAATTTTTTAAAGACTTGGTGTGCTAGAATTTGAAAACAAAAGTACTAAGCACTCTGCTCAGATGAGGACTAGCCAACCGGGTTCCTTAATGCCCCAGTTTGAGCAAAGATCCAATGTATCTACCTGGTGTCTTGTGGGGTTGGGCAAATTATTTATTAATATAGTAATTACACAATTATATCAAGTGGTATAATATATTATAGTTGCTTCTCTATCAGGAGTTTCTGATTCTTCAGGTGAGAAAATGATTTTTCCATCTTTCCTTACAACATATTGTTCATACTCCTGAGTCTTTCCAATACATTTTAAGCTAATTCTGAACTGAAGTCTCTACCTTTACTTTAATTTTACCTTTTCCACATTTGAAATGACTTCATCAACACGACTTTCAGCTTTAGAAAATGTTCTCTGAGTTTCCACCAATGTGTCCCTGGGTTCAAATCATTGTCACCCTAACCTAGAAGGCTGCTGTCACTTTGGTGTGAGTTCTCATGACATGTCAGATGAGTTTTAGCCATAATACCATGATGTAGGATTCCCCTCTGTGTGCTGTGAATATGTTTTTTTTATCATTAGTAAATAAAGAAAATGTTTTGTGCCTGTGGCAGGGTAGAATAGAGTTAGGTGGGGAAACTAAATTGAATGCTGGGAAAATAATATGGAGTCAGAGAGACATCATGTAGCTGCTTAAGCAGACAGATGCCAGAACCTTACTGGGAAACCACGAGTCTAATGGCAAGATATAAAATAATAGAACGGGTTAATTTATGATGTAAGAGCTAGCTAGGAATATGCTAGAGTCATTGGTGAAGCAGTGTAGCAATTGTTATAGTTTCTGTTTGATTATTTCGGGTCTGGGCATTGGGAAGCAAATGAACGACCTTCGCCTACAATACCAGACTCCAAAGAATGTTCAGTCTGAATGCTTTCCACCATCGAGAAATTTCACACTCATTTATTTATTGGACGTCTGCTTAGAGAATTGGTCCAAGATACCTGCTAAATTGTTCTACCCAGTTGCTGTAGATTTAAGACTTTCACTGTGTTTTTAAAACCTGGTCTTTTTTTTTTCTCATGGTAAAATATTTCCTAGTTTTCCAGGCCTAGAAAGATGGCTCAGCAATTAAGTTCACTGGCTGCTCTTCCAGAGGTACTGAGTTCAGTTCCCAGTTACTACACTGTGGCTCACAACCACCTATGATGGGATCTGCCACCCTGTTCTGTCATGCAGGCATACATACAAATAGAACACTCTTTTTTTTTTTGTAATTTTATTAAATTATAAAAAGTTTCCATTTACGCCCCTCCTCCCAACGCCCTCCCACTCCCCCCCTCCCTCTCCTCCTCCCTCTTTGTCCCCAAGGGAAGTCAGGGTCTCCTGCCCTGTGGGAAGTCCAAGTTCCTCCCCCCTCACTCCAGGTCCAGGAAGGTGAGCATCCAAACAGACTTGATCCCAAAAATCCAGTATATGCAGAGGAAACCAGTCCCAGTGTCATTGTCAATGGCTTCTCGGAAAGACTGCAGGCCAGCCACATTCAGAAAAACCAGCCACATTCAGAGAATCTGGTTGGATCACATGCTCGTTCAGTCACGGTCCATCTGGCCTTGGAAAACTCTCATTAGATCCGACCCCTTGTATCAGTGGGTGATAGTATCCCTCGCAGTCCTTCGTCATTTTCTTCCTCCTTTTGCTCCTCGTTTGGATCTTGGGGGGCTCAGTTCGGTGCTCCAACGCGGGCCTCCATCTGTTTCGTCATCCAATGCCAGATGAGGGATCACTCAGGAAGGCCCTCTGGATCAATAGAACACTCTTATACAAACATAAATAAATCTTTATTTAAATGATATATCCTAGTTTTTCTGTCAATCTCTGTTTAACACGTAGCTATATGGAAGCATGTTCTTTGAGATTGAAATGTCTGAAGATTTCCACGTGTCTTCCAGACATTAACCTTCTACATGACTGCAATTGTTCTCAAATTATGGGTTATGACCCTTTTGGGGTTGCACATCAGATACCCTGCATACTAGAGATTTACATCACGATTCATTACAGTAGCAAAATTACAGTTCTGAATAATAATGAAACTGATTTTATGGTTTTCAGGCTCACCACAACATGAGGAACTATATTAGAGGGTAACAACATTAGAAAGGTTGAGAACCAGTGGTCTAGAGCAGAGTGCCATGTGTAGTGTGCTCATACATCAGGTAGTAGTACTGGATTTGTTCTCAGATTTGAATGTCTGAAGCTCCCAGGTTTCTCTGGAGAACCACA